GTGATCAAAGCGCGAAAGTGAATAGATTTGAGTCGCGTATTCAGTGCTTTGTTATTCATGAGGTCAAAGGCGGGTTGACATTTGTAAACAAGGTGCCTTTACTATGGAGACAAGCACCCGTGATTTTGCACCTTTTTGGAAAATAATAAATGAGCGCAAGGCTGTTTCAGTTTCTTTCATGGATGTAAATGACTAGTATAACTCTTTACATTGACTGTATTTACGACAATTTGAAACATCCATGCACTCATATAAAAAAAATTGGCTTGCAAAATGGGGGTGTTGCCTAAAGTCTATGAGAAATGGATGTAAACAACGTAACGTATTGATCAGATAAATACCTAATTACAGTGCATGGAAGTAAAAATTGAAATTGATAAACTACAATGTTTGATGGAAAGATTGATGCAAAAATATGTAGAAAATCTTTGATTTAATTCTTTGTAAATTATCGGGGGGCCAGATTTGGACGTTTAAACAATTCATTCTTTTTAACACTGACATCATTAATGGCAATTACGTGATGGTATGCAGGGGTAGATAAATAGAATTTTGCAGTACTTGACCTTGGACAGGTTACCATCATAAAATTACTTGTCCTATGAAAAAATGTTCTCGTCCCCACCTTTCTCTTAAATTGCACAAAATTAAAGCATTAACATTAAATTATTTCTCGACTGAGACACTACACGGGAACCAACCAAGATCTAAAATCACTAAAATTTAGGGGAAAATTTTTAATTTTTAAGGAGACTTTTTAGCCTATATACACATCCCTGGTATTACTTTAACACCCCAAGAATACTCAATCCAAGAAAATTGAATATAAAAGCATTGTTCACCAATTGGGAAAAAATACAACCAAATTGGGAAAAAATTAGCTCATTTTCAATTGGGAATGGGGCTGAATTTCAGCCCCTGAGAAGATACTGATAAATCCCTGCATGCTCTTCTTTTTTTCCCTAAGCGGGGGACACAAATTCTCTTAATTAGCTTGTTTTTAATTAATGTGTATTTATTTAATGAAAAAGGTGAATATAACGAACAGTGATCAATCTCAAAACAACCTACAGACACTGCAAATCAGTGAACACTACTGCATGCCGTTCGATTACATGACTGTGTGATTGCCAGTCAACAGCACCAATCTTAATACCAGTAACATGTCTGTATTCAAAGTATGATAATATTTTGACAGTAACGAGACCCATGGGCCACATCACTCACCTAAGCACATTGGCTAGAAAAAAGCAGAAATAAGTTTAGTATTGAAAAGTTTACGAAGGAGGGGGGACAAATACCTCAGGATGCTTTCATTTCAGTATTACTAATCATGGCTTTGCTGTTCTTGAGCAGAAGAATTTTTAAGATTTTTTACATATAGATATAGATAAATATATTCTTATGTAATACTTTGACCCTCTTTTGTGCCCTAACCCCTGGTGGGTCACAATTTGAACAAATTTGATTCTACAATACCTAAGGTTTGCTTCTGTATAAATATGAATAATAATGGCTTAGTTATACTTGAGAAGAAGGTTTTTAAAGATTTTTACCTTTATATTCCAATTTAAAATTTTGATCTCTGTTGTGTCTGTACCCAACTCCCAGGGGGTCATGATTGGAACAAACTTGAATCTACACTACCTGAGGATACTGACTAATAATGGTTTAGCTGTTCTTGAGAAGAAGATTTTTAAAGATATTTCCTATATATTCCAATGGTAAACTTTGTCCCCTGTTGTGGCCCTGCCCTACCCCCAGGGGTCATGATTGAAACAAACTTGAATCTAAACTACCTGAGGGTACTTCTAAAATAATTTGACTAATCTTGGCTTTGCTGTTCTCAAGAAGATTTTTAAAGACATTTCCTATATATTCCTATGTGAAACTTTGACCACCTCTTATGCCCCTCCATACCCCTCGGGGTTATAATATGAACAAACTTGAATATAGAGTATGTAATGAAGCTTTCACATAAGTTTCATCTTTTCTTGCTGAGTGATTCTTGAGGATTTAAAAAAAAAAATGCAGTCAAATTTGAAAGAGGGCATGGCACTTCCTGTGAATGAAATTAAATCCCCTCCACCCAAGGATGCTTTGTGGCAAGTTTGCTTGAAATTGGCCCAGTGGTTCTTGAAAAGAAGCCTTTGGTTCAGGTGAGCTAAAACTTTTTTGACGACATCAATACCTGCCATGTTTTATGACTTGAGTTCCATCTCACTATTCAATGTAGTGGTCAACAGCAGCGAAAACAGGTGCTTTGCTGTGATTCATGATATTTTAAAAGTGGTAACACAAAAGACATTTGAGTATATGATATTTTGTAAATGGAAAAGCACTTGTCCAAGGGCAGGCATTACAGTTTATCAAATATCTTGACCACCAAACAAAATTGGTTGTTCCAGGTGTCAGGCAATTCTATTTGTCTAGCCTGTGATATGCACACAAACACTTTCTGGTAAATATATTTTCAAAAATGGCAACAACAGGTGATAATGTGGTGCACCATATTCTCATTCAATGATGTGTTAAGTGGAGTATCACTCCTGTCTATACAGGAAAAGAGATTGAACATCACAAACATGTCTATACTTTTTGACTGGTTATTCCACAGAAGAGGTGCTTGGTAGATCAACCAAGTTGACATTAAACTTGAAGATCAGGAGCTGGAGTGAAGCTCAATCTGCAGACTGTTGTTAGCTAAAGAAGTTGTATCCTGATCAGGATTTGGAAATTGTCTATTCAAAGAATCAATTTTGCGATCCTCTGATGACAAAGTGTGTTGGAGATGGGTACCTTGGTTACTAACTGAAAATCAAATGTGTCAAATTTCTGTCATTTTAAAATTCTACAGAAAAGACGCGAGATTCCAAAATAATTTCACAAATGCCAAAAACTGCGTTTTGATGTCATGATCGAGTGTAATACTGGGAGAAAAATTTTATTTACATATTTTATTAAAATTTGTATGTAGTATTTAAAGAATGTTGATTATTTTGCATGCCAATTTTTAAATTTATAATATTAAGAAACAATAACTATTGTAAATTTTCACGATTTTCAGGGACAACCCGCATATGTCTGTATTTTTAGAAAAATGTTAATGTTTGTGAATTGTATAAAATGTCACTTGTGAGGTATTTTTTCAAGGTCATATTATAAAGTGAAATTCATAATCATGCTTAGAGCTAAACATGACTCCTAAATAGACAAACGCCATATTATTTTTCCTATCTCCAATATCAGCACTTGAGTTTATACCCTTCACATTTATTCATTTCACCTGGAACTCATGGCCAAGTAGTATTTCTTGCGTGTCTTGTGATTACGTTTTGTTTTATTGTTTTGCATGCAATTGTCTTTTTCTTTATTCATTGACCTGTGCAATTGATGGGTTTTTTTCTCCTGACATGGTATAGTTGCATATATTTGGTAATTTTATTGCGACTGGGTTACAGTGGTGACATCCACACAGGTGAGATCTGTACAGCAAAATACTTTGAACTGTGAAGAAGTCAGAGGCTTATATAGAGGCACAAGAAATAAGACAAGCATGAAGGAGAAATATAGCAGACAAGGATAAATCTCTCTCTTTTAGGATTCATGTTCATCTTTAAAACTTAAGGTCAAATAGAAGTTGCAACCATACTGATTACCTATTTGCCATTAGAAATACAGTCCACAAGCATTAAAAAGTGAGGTGTATACTTTATTCTGTCAATTTGACTCTCTCTTAACAAAGTCAATCGAGGCATTTTATGTCTTTCAATTTGTATAATAAGTATTTACTTTTTAGCTCACCTCAACGAAGTTGGGAGAGCTTATGTAATACCATCGGCATCCCAGGTTAAGGTTTTTGGAGCAGTTTTCTTTTCAAGTACTTCTATGGCCTATATTAGTCAGAGATGCATGGAGGATGCTTCTAGTGTGTTTCATTGTACCAGTCAAGGTTTCAGATGCTGCAATTTCAGCTAAAGAATCATCAGGTTAATTTTTTTGGAGCAGGTTAAAGTTTTTGGAGCAGGTCTCATTTCCAAGTAACTATAAGCCCTATATTGACCAAACTTGCATGGATGATACATCTAAGGATGCACACTACTGGCCTTGCCTTGGATGCTGGATCTGACCTATATTTTCCGGATGAGTGACCTGGTTAAAGTTTTTGGAGCAGATCTCTAATTCAAGTAACTATAAGCCCTATATTGACTAAACTTGCATGGATGATACATCTAAGGATGCACATTACTGGACTTGCTTCGGATGCTGGATCTGACCTACATTTTCTGGATGAGTGACCAGGTTAAAGTTTTTGGAGCAGATGTCATTTCCAAGTAACTGTAAACCCTATATTGACCAAACTTGCATGGATGATACATCTAAGGATGCACACTACTGGGCTTGCTTCTGATGCTAGATCTGAGCTACATTTTCCAGATGTGTAACCAGGTTAAAGTTTTTGGAGCAGATCTCAGTTCCAAGTAACTATAAGGCCTATCTGAACCAAACTTGCATGGATGATGCATCTAAGGATGCACACTACTGGACTTGCTTCGGATGCTGGATCTGACCTACATTTTCCGGATGAGTAACCAGGTTAAAGTTTTTGGAGCAGATCTCATTTCCAAGTAACTATAAGGCCTATCTGAACCAAACTTGCATGGATGATGCATCAAGGGACGAACAATCTCAATTTTGCTTCGGATGCTGGATTTGACTTACATTTTCTGGATGAGTGACTAGTTTTAAGTTTTCAGATAAGTCTACTCCCAAGTAACTGCAAGCCCTATCAGACCAAAATTGCATAAATGTTGCATCTAGGGATGCACAAGATTATTAGTTTAGTGTGGGACTCTGCCTTACTTAAAGACATCATTCGTTGAGGTGAGCTCTGTAATCTCTGATTACCTATGTTTCTAGTATTATACTAAATGGAAGCAACATCTGAAAATATATTATAAACTGGAAATTTCTCATTGGAATTTTTTTGCTTATTTTAGCTTTGTATCCAACTAATGAGGCTAACTTTGTGGATCTCTTGTATACCTTTGTCACCACGGAGGCTACAGGAATGCGACATGCAAGGGAGGTGATCTTTGACAGCAGCTCAGGAACAAGGGATATTACTGTAAGTCTATATAGGGCCTTATCAGGTGTTCCTTTTTTCTTCAAACAAGGCTAAACAGCAAAAAATCTATCAACAAATAAGTATGTGAGATATGTAAAAGAACAGATTTCGTACTTTATACTCTCAAAGTAAAAATATTACCATTTACTGAATGGCATCCTGTGACAATATAACAGCATGTAAAATTTTTTCACCATCTCATTTACAGACAACGTACATATCATATCAGCACCTGACTTTTAGCACTGCTTCAGAAGAAATTGTGGCCATGGAAGCAACAGAGGCATCTGTCAATGGGATTTTCTCAGAGTCTGAATGCTTCACATATGGCAGACTTTATCTACAGTGGTATACAAATAAAGTAAGTTAACTTTCTACTGATATAAACAGAGAAAAAATGTCTTTTAGGTTTTTCTCTAATACTTGTGTTCTTTTAAAAACCTTTTTGTTTTAGCACTACAGTAAAACATGCTTATAACGAAGTGCCAGGGATGGACGATTTTGCTTTGTAATAAGCATTATTCGTTTTATTCATTAAGTTTACAATATATTTTTAACTCATAGGGAATGAAAATCACTTCTCTGTAAGCATCAATTCATTATAAGCGTGTTTGCTTTAAGCATGTATTACTGTATTTGTCTGTGTAAATTGGAGTGAAAACATTTATTTTATAAATTACCAGTATATTTTGAATTTTTGACTATTAATTTCGATTTAGGTGATCAAAATTGAGCTGTTTAGGAACTTGGGCTTGGCTGCAGCCTGTGTGTTTGTGGTCACCCTGATCCTAATAGCCAACCTTTGGACCAGTATTCTTGTCTTCTCTTGTGTCATCATGACCCTGGTAAGTAGAAAATATAATACCTGTAGTTCAGATAGCAAATAGAGATACTAAGGTGAAAACTCTGTGAAACATGAGAAAAAATGCTTTAGACAGATAATACATGTACTGTTATCTGTGGCTTTTTTTATTGCAGACAAGGAATTGTTTTGTTCAGTGGAATATTGTTTTACTTTTTTTAGTACATGCAAGTTCAAAAATAGTTCAGATGATGTCTGATACATTTATAGAGTTCTTATTCTCATTATACAAAGTGCAGGCTCTGGAATTGAACTTAAACCATTTATTTGTTTGCATGCACCTGTTCACATTCAATGCTAAATATAAGAAACTTGAGAACAAAACCACTTTCTTTTTTCTGTGGATACTTAGGAATCATTTTCAGCTTTACCTTTGAGAATTTACAAGGTTGTGAAAAGAATTTATGTTTAAAAAAAAAATTATTTTAAAAGCATCCTAAAGAAAAATAATGTCATATCATAGTAAATATAAATGAATATCACTATAGGTGGATGTAGCTGGTATCATGCACTTTTGGGGTCTGTCCATCAACATTGTGTCCTGTATTAACTTTGTCATTGCTATTGGTCTGGCAGTGGATTACTCGGCTCACATCGGTCACTGTTTTATGACATTTGTTGGAGATAGAAATGGTAAGAAAACAATTTCTGCTCCACATTTATATCTGTACAAGTAATTATATAATTACAAGTCAGTTACTTGTCAAATCTGTGTGTGATAATTTTCTAAAAAAAAATTCATCTGACATTTTATTAATTTGTTTGCACAGTTAATAAACTCTTTTAGTATGTTTATGTTAATCATCATGTGATAATGAATAAATTGTGTATTATCAAACAAGATATTTATTATTAACCCCTGCAGAGCGTGTGAGGGCGACGTTGGTAGAGATGGGAAACCCAGTCTTCAGTGGAGGTTTCAGTACATTCCTAGCCTTTATTCTTCTAGCAGCCGGTAAAAGCTACGTTTTCATAACATTTTTCCAGGTAGGGTTTCCAATACAATTACTTTTTAGCTAACCTGAGCTGAAAGCTCAAACGAGCTTTTCTGATCACATTTTGTCTGTAGTCCGTTTGTTTCAAGAACAGCAAAGTCTTGTTTAGTCATATTGATATGGAAGCATTCTCAGGTAGTGTAGATTTAAGTTTGTTCAAAGGATGATCCCTGGGGGTAGGGTGGGGCCACAATGAGGGATCAAAATTTTACAAACTTAAGGAATATATAGGGAAAATTCTTTAAAAATCATCTTCTCAAGAACAGCAAAGCCATGTATAGTCATATTGATATGTAGATTCAAGTTTGTTCAAATGATGACCCCCGGGGGTAGGGTGCGGCCACAATTGGAGATCAACGTTTTACAAGGAATATATAGAAAAAAATCTTCTCAAGAACAGAAAAGCCATGTTTAGTCACATTGATATGGAAGCATCCTCAGGTAGTGTAGATTTAAGTTTGTTCAAATGATGACCCCCGAGGGTAGGGAGGGGCCACAATGGGGGATCAAATTTTTACCCCTGTAAACTTTTCTATACTGAACTGATTTGTGCTTTTTCTTAGCCAATGTGCTCAAGTGAGCAATGTGACCCATAAGCCTCTTGTTAGTTTTTTGCATCACAAGTAATAAACATGTTAATAATGTTTATGTCGCCTTCATAGAATCGGTGTTCTTTTTGAAATAAAGTTAATTAATTGCTAGACTTCATCTGCTTCAAATACCCATGAGATATGAGACACATAAAAAAAATATGTTAGAACAAATTAAATACCTTTTCCATTCCTGGCCCTGGGATCATGAAACATCTTAAGCTTAAGTCAAAATCTTTATGTGTACTTAAATGTTGTAGAAGTCATGCACTCCAAAATCTAAATATTTTTCAAAATTACTTTCCAAAAGTGTTGTTTTCTGCAAATTTAGAGATTAATTCAATAATTAACTAACATTTTTCAGACAATTGAAAATTTGACTTAAGTCTAAGTCTGTTTTTAAATGTGATCCTAGGGCCTGGTCATTTTTTTCTTGAATGTCAGAATTATTTGAATGACACTTTAGAATTATTTGTAGTCTTTAACCCGATAACCTTTCAAACTTTGTAGTTGTCAAATACATAGAAAAGTGGTTGATGAAATTATATAAGGAGATTATCTTCATAATTTTCATTGGCAGAAAGGTTTTCGTGGTATTCATCTGTTTCTGATATTGGTGAGAAAACATGTCTGAGGAATATGATATATCCCACAAATCACTGTTTACTGTAGTAAGCACCAAAGTTGAAGTTACTTTGGAAATTGCAAGCCTCATGTCTAATGACAATTAAAAAGTTAAGGAACTCTAGTTGCAGAAAAACCGGTGACTACTCGCACAAGTTATGGAACCTTGATCTCCCTTAATTTACACCACTAAAAATTTTCAAACTTTTTGTATATTATTCCTGCATAAATCACGCACAAACCAAAATTATGTAGCAAAACATATAAATATTTGAAGTATGTTTCTACCATTGTGACCTTATGACAGCCAATTAAGTCTATTACATGCACAGCAATGTCTATAGGACTATGTGAGATTATTCGTTTGGAGTGATTATATAATTTAACTATTATGGACTTGGTGAATAGTCAATATGTGCTTGTAAGAACCCATGTCAAGTGATATTAATCTCAGACGAAAACAACCTTGTTAGCTCTGTCGATATTACTTTTTGTGTCTTGGCGGTCAGCATCATCTGACATGGGTCCTTATAAGCACATATGGACCTACAGGGAAGTCCATAATTGTATATGTAGTTGAAGTATCAAAATAAATGAAACAGTTATAAACTAGTATATAGATTTTAATGTTTTTGTTTTTTCATGCAGATATTTCTTTTGGTGGTGATATTTGGCCTATTTCATGGACTCGTGTATCTGCCAGTATTATTGTCGTGGATTGGACCCTCAGCGTACACCAGTGCAGACAGACGGTATAAAGCTGATGATCCGGAATCCGGAGAGGACAATAAAGAATCCAAATTACAAGGCCATGATAACCTTGCCATGAAAACAACAGTAAGTGTCAGTCATTGAAAATGTTAATCGTAATGGCTTTAGTGCCTAGAAAATTTTTATATTGTAAAATTGTGATAGATAATAGTGGTGATCTGATTTGCTCATGTAGACAATCACCAAACAATAGGTCAACTGTAAATAAATTAATATTATAGTGTTACGTACTCACTGACTGATCAAAATTGTTGTAAAGTGAATGAGGAAATGAGTGTCTGTAATGAAAAAATTAATCTTGTTTAAGGTAATATAAAATAATGTGCTATTAATATAGCGAGCTTTTGAGATTTTTAAACTGATTTTTATATTTCTTTTATTTTCATAGTACAAAACTGGTAAAAAAAAAAAAAAAATTCATGTTGTATTTTGGGTTTTTTTGCTACTTCATGCATGTTGTTTTGGATTTTGTTCATAGGACAATGCAGTAAAGTAATCACAATGTCCATCCATCTGTCGATGTTTTCTCCTTTTCAAAATCCATTTATACTTTATAAGTTGCAATATTTGAATGATATTTAACTTAAAGACTTTGAATTATGAAAAAAACCTACAGTTTATCAAAGGTCAAGATCTTTATTATAAGGCCATTCCAAGTTTTTTCTATGTTTAGCGTCCACTCATCCTTCAAAAACCTACCTACCTATTCACAAAAAACAAACAGATCAAAAATGTAAAACTCAGATTTTATAGTCATAAAAATGATTTTATTCAAAGGATTTTGATGTCATGAATTTATTTTTCTCATAGAAAGACCTATACTTTAGCAAAATCAAGTTATTTAATGCTTAAATTATACCTAATATGACATATTATAGACAAATCATTACAGAAAATGACAGAATTCAAAGATTTCAACCAGAATACTAGTACTGTAGATTCCTAAATATATGCGAGGAATTAATTATCGCGTAATTACACGAGAAGCACTATTCACGAAATAAAATTACTCTCTTTTATTTTTATGGTGCTTTAATGTATGTAAAATCTCTAGATAAATCGCCCATTCGTGAATTATTGTTCTCGCGATTTTACGCCCTTGGGCCATTTCGCGATATTAAGTACTCGCGTAAAATAAGGAATCTACAGTAATCAATTTCAGTTCTTCTGATTTTAATTGTTTTTTTCTGATATTGGGTGTCAAAAACCTAGGCGCACGCAGATGCTAAACATAGAAAAAACTAGGATTGGCCTAAGTATTGTTGACGTTATGCAAAAACTAGGATATGCTAAAGGTTTAATGTTTTCTGGAAGGTTACCAAACTTCAAAGTTAAAAATGAGAAGAATGGTTATTTTTACATACATGGAGATAAACAAGTTCCACTAAATTTTGATATTATTTACTCAAAGGTCAGTGTTATATGATCAAGAATATTAATATTGATATAAGCACACTGCGAGGCCCGGCCTTCCTGACTTTGAGATTTTCAAGTTTGTTTCTTTTGTTTGTTTAGATATACAAAATTTAAATTGTTTGTTGTGTAATTTTCTTTTTTTATCAAGCATGATGGTATGGGTATATGTACACTGATATAAAGCTATATTTTAAATGAGCCAAAAATAAAAAGATAAAACTAATCATTCTTAAATTTGAAAGACAAAAAAGATATTTTTGCAGCTTCATGTGTATTTTTGTAAGAGGGATATTGCCTACCAGCTAGGCTATCATACTCCAGCTTGTAGATATACTCTCCATTGTTTAACTGCATCTAATACTTGATGGGACTATTTATTTACAACATAAGTATAAAATGTATGATTATATGAAATACATATTTATAATTCATCTATTTGGTGTATCATTGACTAACATCATTTAAAAAAAAAAATATGGAACTTTTGAACAGGTATTAATACTTTAATTTTGTGCATGTTTTATAATCATGATGTTAAAAGAAATTCTAGTCAAGAAAGGGAATTAGAAAGTAATGAGTAATTTGTCCCATAATGCATTTCTTCACTATCACTTCAAGATGCAAAATACACTGGGGAAAAATCATAATTTTTAAAGGGGGGGGGGGGTTATTCCTTCTGAAAATGTACATGTTAATCTGTTTTTAAGAAAAGATTAAAGACTTTAATAAAGATAACTTTAAATAAGCAGATGGTAAAGAACATATTCAAAATATGAGTGTTAAATATTCATCATCTGTGTTTCAGTATATCATATTATAGCAAATGTGTGTGCAGATTTTCAATTTACAGCATGCACACCTGATACAGCAATGTAAAACATCTTTGAGTGTTAAAACATTCACATAAAAATAGATGTTTTTAGTACCTTCAATTTTTTATAGCAATATCAAGTACTTCCTTGGCTAAAACCTGCTTGATCAGTTGTTTTGTGTGTTTATCTGTGCAGTAAAACTTGCTTATAGGGAACTAATTTAGAAGGCATTTGTGCTTAAAAGGGGCAGGTTATTTTGAATTCTTAGCAATTTTTTTTTTAAGTTTTTGGAAATAATTTTGTCTAAAGGAACATTCTCCATTGTATGAAAATGTAATTATAAAAATTAACAAGACACATAATTGTTTTATCAAAAGTTCTGTAAAAAGGGGGTAGGCTCCAAGAAAGTCTATGTCATCTTTTACTCATCTCGGTATAGGTACTTAACGAGGTTCGCTCCTGAGCTTTTGAGCAGATTCTTATCTTAACCTATATTTCAAAAATTCTGCATAATGTTTTAATTCTTACAATAAATTTGGATTCTACAATGCCAATTTAACTATATTCAGTTAAAACTCCATGATTAAATTCCATACCAAAAGCATTAAGTGAGGGACTATATTTTGTGGCGGAAGGTTTTTTAGAAGAAAATGATCATTTTTTCTCTTTCGAAGAATTAAAAGTATGTTAAGTTTGGATTCCTATTTTTACATGTAGTCTGCACACATAGTTCTTTTGTGCAGTGGACTGTTTTATACTGGTCCTAAATTATCTATTAAAAAAACTGTCATGAATTCTATCATCATATTTGATAAATATAGCAAATATATTGTGGAAATGAAGAAAAAAAATAGCCCTAATTTAAGCTTAAAATTAGCACTATTTTAGTAATATCTAAAAATTAACATCACAGACCCCCACTTTTAATTTTCTTTTCTGAATATATATGATACTTTTAATCATTCTTCTTAAATTCAGTAAAATGTCATTACTTTCAAATGATTTTTTTTGCTTGTTAAATTTTAATACCAGAAAAATGAAAATGTTTGAGTGCAAAAAGGTCAAATAATTGAACATGCAGAGTAATTCAAAAATTTCTTCGTTGTTACAAATTTTAATGTGTCTATTTAAGATGAAATAAGACTGTGTTTGTTCACCATAATTTATTTGAACAAAAAATATTGAAGGAAAAACTTTAAAAATTGATTTATGTGTAAGACGTATTTACAGTGCAGAAAGGTCAAACTAAATGCTCTGTAGCGCCAAAAGAAGCGCATTGACCCCCATTTTTTGTTTTGATTTTTAATAAAGCTATGTGTATAAATTCTAAAAATATACTTGATAAAAAATTCTCATTACTTTTGATGGCAGGATCCAACCTCCTTAATTATAGTTTTAACTAAATAGTATGTAGAAGTAGATCAAAGGTGACGAAAACATTGTGTATAAAAAAATAACGAATAAATTTGAGAAAACTTTTGCAAAATTGTATTTGCATTGCTAATCTTATTGTGTTTTTGTCTTCAGATAAGTAATGGCTATGTGTCAGAACCTCCTCCAGATTATCAACAGACAAATTTACCTTACATTCCTCCCCCAGACTACACTCCTCCCACAAAGCCACGGGGACAGGCCAATGGAAGAACTCCCCAAACAAATGGCAGGATTACACCTATCAGTACATGAGGGAATGTTTAATCTTGCCAATTCTGTTACATCTGTGATAATTTTTTTGTTAACAAATGATGTTAATTCTAAGATTACTACATTGTGCCAGTGAGTTTGCCAGTGTTTTAAGGAGATTCTTTTATGTCATTTTGTCATGCATGTTTGTAATTTTTTAAGTGTAATGTTGATTTGTTCTTCTTCTTAGTTCCATCCGTAACACTACAAATATGTATTATTGCTCCCTTGTCAAGATCTGAATGTGTTACACATAGACCCAGAATCTCTCTGGTTTGTAGAGTACTAACGTTATATATGTATTTAAATTTGGGACAATCAAATCCAAGTTTTTCTACATGATCTGAGGTCATGACACTTTTAGTTTTGTTATTAACCTTGTTAGTAGGTTCATGTTCTTGAATGAAAACCGGTATAGGATGCATATGTTTTTTTTATCCTGCTAAGCTGTTGGTATTTGCCATTTGTTATATTTTATCAATATTTATTAATATGTTATATATCATTGCTAATATATGCTATACAGATAATTTTATGCTGGATTTATTAGAAAGTTGATTAATTTATAAATAATAAGGTATGCACTTGTAAACATATATACTGTTGTAGAGGTTAGGGGTACAAATTGTAAAGATTACATAACTGTGTTACATTTTAAAATTAAGCATTTCTAGGTAAAATCTTACAAAACATATTAATGAAATAGTTTAAAAACCAGATTAAGTGCCTACATCAATTCATTTTTTTTTTTGTTTAATTACCATAATTTTTTTTGGTTATAGATCGTCAAAGATGTACATATTAGAATTTTGTGCCATAGTGCTTATAGTTACCCAATATCAGTGTCAGCTTTTTTGAAGAATCTCAAAGACTGGTTGTATTTGTAAGGGCTCTGTCCTGCATCAGTATTCTGTCCAATATTACTTGCCTAAAGTATATTTTCTTTCCGTTTCACCCATTCTGGCTCATACTTCACCCTGAGATTGTGTTTGGATATAGGGTAAAGAGTGACATTGATTCAAGTTTCTATGGAAAATGGCAAGGCATAAGTAGGTCTCTCTGTAAAATCCTTGTCCAGAGCATATCTTCCTCCCTTTAGCCAAATCTGGCACAATCTTCAACCACACAGTGCCCCACACAGTGCCCATGGGTACAAGAGTGTAAAAATAAAAATGACCCAATTTTCTTCCTAAAAGTTCAAGGTCAAAGCAATTCTCAGTGTACAATCCTTGTCTAGAGCCAAAAAAATTTCCTTTGCCCAATCTGGCTCAGATGCACTTAGGTCAAGGAAATGCCGTAACCTTGATCTAAGTTTCTGTTGAACAGGTCAAGGTAAAAAAAACAGGTCTCTTTGTAAAATCCTTATCCAGAGAGTATTTTTCACCCTTTGACCCAATCTGGCAAATACTCAACAACAGACTGTCTTTACTTAATGGGTTTGCAAATTTCTAGGTCAAAGTTCAAGGATGAAGGATGTCTTTTTTTTGTAAATTTCTTGTCTGGTAATATACCGTATAATTTGTGCCTTTTTGGCTAACAATTCACCCATAGAGTACCTTGTAACAAGAATAAGCAGTATTCAAACAACCAAGTCAAAGGTTTGTGTGCATTCCATAAAAAGAATTGTCTCCAGTTACAGTCCATTACAATTCCCCTTTACCCTCATGTCCTCTATATTAACTTAAAGCAGGGGCCATCATCTCGATGATGTCTTGTCCTATTTGTTTACCATTATTAAAGAGAAGGTACTGCAAAGCTCATATTAATTTACATGTATTTACAGTGATATTATATCTTATCTGTGAGTATGTGTAAGGTATTTGTTATAACATATCAAAGCTAGGAATTATACTTTAAATATATCTCAGGATTTTTCTAGATCTGTGTTGTCTCAAAAGAAATTACCATTCCAGCTGGAGATCTATATAAACTTTGATGTATAAGAATTGTAGATTAAAAGTAAACATTGTCTTTCATATGTTATACAATGAATGTTGATGCATGTGCTTGTGCTTAGCTTTTGGGTCTGGAATGAAATATTTATTTTCTGTAAGAAGAAACATGAAATTTTTGTTTTTGACATTTTTTATTAAAAATCCTATAAATGAGTGAAATTTTATGTATGATCTTTATGCGTGAACAGTCATTTCCTGCCACAGTTTTATGTTGTAATTCTTAAATACTATAGATTACTAACTCAACATAGGCAAGGAGTTTAGTATTTAATCCAGTCAGATTTATTTACATTTGTTTTAATGGAATAAAAATGTTTTCAATCAAAATATGTGTAGTCCTTTCTTCAGTTTTTGCTCTTCTGGTAGGAGACAATTGCGGGAGGGGCACTTTTTGAACACCTAAGATTATGCTTATGCAGATGGACTGTGTGTTGTCTGCAAACACTTTTTTTTTTAAATACTTGTCCCAGGCCCGTAAGAAGCAATTTCAGTTAGGGGGGCATAGCTATACGTTTTCAGTTGAGGGGGCACTATCAACTACCAAAAATTCCTTGACAAGCTAGAAAAAAAAAAGAAAAAAGGTTTATCAGACGTTTTTATTGAGGGGGCACAAGCATGTAATGGCTATGTTTTCTATAGTAAACTATATATCGGCAAAATTATTGAGGGACACGGCTGCCCCCCCCCCCCCCGGTTCCTACGGCCATGCTGAGTTTTAATCCGATTTTAGTAAAATTTGGCACACAAATTGAAAGCAAGATACAAAATTTTATAGATTTAAGATTTTGGTGAATAGTGTTACAAATGTACTATAATAACCTAAAAAAAGAGATTTTTGTTGTGACATTCTTGAAATGCTACTCCTTCTACAGTTTGGATGTGATTTCTATATTATTTATTTATTATTCCAAATCGGGGCCCTTTTGAGCATATTACATACATTATTATGAAACAGAAAATATAGGTATAATAATTATTCACAAAATGTGATAATAGTAATATTCAGCATTTTCTTAATGCATATACTTGGTCTATTTACTCATGGTTCATAAGTTGATATAATTGCTAACATGTACAATTGTGATTTCTATAAATCTTGGTGCAACACATTTTTAAAAATAAAACAAAAACCATATATATGAAAACATAAGTCGTGCGAGTACACATTTTGTATGTAAAACTAAATTGAAAAAAAAAAAATAGTCTAAGTGCAATTTTTCCCTCCATAAGCTATTATTAATAAAAACCACTTAGAGCTACCATCTCATCAAAGACGAGCTAGTTCAAGGCCTTCGGAAGACACCCCCTTCTTTTTTTAGGAAAAAAAACCCCCTCAATATATTGATTCTGTATCAAATTAATTCATCATTCGACTGGTTCAATTAAATGCCATTAGATTTTGTTTATTTACTAGATCTAAAAGAAGTAGAAAACGGCTAAGAAGTAGGTTTCCCAGACCCTCCCCAACCCCCCTTTCCAGAAACCCTGTTGACGGCTTCTTGGTTGTAACACCATTTTGGTTCGAACATTGTACAAAGTTACGAATAAAACACATGAAGCTAAGAAGAAAGTTTGAAAAGCCAACTACCAACTTCGAAAAAAATATTACATGGCAATAAAATAGAGTTATCTCGCTTCCCATTTATTTTGTCTTTAGCTGCAGAACACTGCACTAACATTAATCTGTTTACTGGAACTATTACAACCATCTATCATGCAGAATGTCATTATTTATAGGATCTTCGGTTTTCTTGGAGAAAGCAATTTCGATAAAAGTCATTTTGAAGATGTACGGCTATGCTGGTGACAGATTTTATAGAACGAGTAGCGGCATTTAATGATGCGCTGTGTATTGATGGCCGTCTCGCTGATAAATCTTTCCTTGTGGTAGTAATGGTACATTTCCAATCGATGGCTACTCTATTATTTTGTCTGGTCATCAAAAACTAAAGGCCTCGTCACGCATCCATTATTCAAGAAGTCAAATAGAGAATAATAAACGATTCGTATTTGAATCTAACTTTAATTCTTCGGACGCGAGGAGAGCCACTTTAAAATTCTGTAAATCGATCTTCACAGAGGATTATATACATGTATATATATATATATATATATATATATATATATATATATATATATATATATATATATATATATATATATATATATATATATATATATATATATATATATATATAAACCGAGGTGTCGTGTCGCAGTAGGTGTTCGTATAAGAAAAGAACCCCCACCGCTGAATGAATGGCCCTAAGTCTAAATTTGCGGTCTTCAACCGACAATTGTGGCATCCTAATTTCAATGGCCATAAGTGACAAGTGTAGGTCTAAATCTGCAACCACCGACAACTGGTGGCGTCCCAATCTCAATTAGCCTTGTCGAGCATAGGTTTCCACCTAGCTGCAATAATGTAGCCCTCTCCGATTTTTTTTAATCTGATATTTTCAGAGCCTCCCCCCCCCCAAAAAAAAAATCGGAGAGGGCTACATTTTTGCAGCTAGTTTCCACCAACAAATTGATGGCGTCTCATCCCTTCATTGGCGTCGGAAGCAAATTGAAAGTGGGGGGGGGGGGGGGCTAATTGAAAGAGAAAAAAAAAAATCGAACCTGAAAAACCTTGACAAGCCAAAAAAAAAAGGGGGGGGGGGAATTAGTAATTGTCCAGATGCGAAAAATCCTATTTCTTGGGGGGGGGGGGGGGGAGAGGGGGGATTAAACTTCTTTCAGTACCATCCCCCCAAACCCCAGCACTTACCTTTCTTTGACTACACTGCAACCTGTGCCTCTTGAAGGGGGGGGGGGGGCTAAACCTACGCTCCAATGTTCAATGCCTATATTATGTCTATCTTTGCAAAAAAAAGTGGGGGGCTAAGTCCCCCTAGCCCCCCCCCCCCGGTTCCGACGCCTATGCCTTAAGTGCCAAGTATACGTCTAAAGGAACGTAAAGCAAGCAAACAATCATTACCCCCTTTCCCCTTTTCGATCATGGACAAGCGTACCTTTCAACAGAATATCAATTTATGTATATCATAAATGCAGATGATCTCAGACCAGTGGCGGATCCAGAAATTTCATAACGGGGGGGGGGGGGGGGGTAGTAGAAGACAGGGGGTTTGGGGGCTGCAATAAAGCCCCCAGTGGGTCTAGGGCAAAGCCGTAGTGGGGGTCCGGAGGAAGCTGACGATTTCTTACAAATAAGAGATGGTTTTTTCCTTTGCTTTTAGGATAATGGACATATAAATTCTACATACAAAAATTTGGGGGGGGGGGGGGCGTGCGCCCGGCGCACCGGCCCTGGATCCGCCTTTGCCAGACTTCAGATAACCATTTTCTCAAATTGATAATTAAACAAGAGAAATATTTGGATCCGAGCATCGTTTGGTAGCTTTGTCTCGATTGCTTTCAGCAAAAGCCGACAGTTGGATGTATTTCTAATCTTCGTATAGTGTTCGGACCATTTCATGAAGAACGGTTTAGGAAATCAGTCTCAGAAACCCAAAGTATTGCAGCTGTCCGCTCTTTTAAAATTTGACTCTGAACCTGTTCATGAAAATTTAATAATATATTTGGCATTCGTTGCACGTGCTACTGTTTCTCTCAGTCAATTTCGGTCGTCTGCCACCGGTTCCTGACCCCGGGAATTCACGTGCTGAAATTGATTTTTACGATTTTCAGGTGTTTGTTAGGAAATCTTATTGTATCGAACGATTCTGATTTTACAAATCTCCACTCTCTCCTAAATTTGAGTGACGGATAATTTACAGTGCGACACGAAAACCGACATTGAACCAAACAGTTACTTTCTTTTGTTTCTCCCTTGTTTGCTGCATGCGCCATGTGCCACATGGCGTGCGGGTTCCGTATTCCCAAACCGTAGTACTTATTGGTTATTTTCACAATTAATGATACTTCAATGATGAGATATCAATTATGGATATAGCTTTGGATAAAATGGAAAATGTTCGTTAGTCACCACCGAAAATATCAATATAAGCCAACATCTGCAGTTCTTTCACCTGTACCGCGATGAATAGTTTTCATTGATTTGAAAAAGTTCAAAGACAATAGATGGATCGAAGCCATCTGTCTCTATCCTTTTTTTCTTTTCCGGAAATTACCTCGGAATTACCTTGAAGAACTCAGATCTTGGAAATTTGTTTATTTGTAAAGGTTTATATAATTAAAAGATTGCGAAATTGAGAAAGGTTTGTCTTTGTTGTTTTGATGAATTTTATCCTTTTTTTTGGGGGGGGGGGGGAGTCAAAAATACACGTTTTAAATAATTGACATTGTACGTGATTCAGTTTCATATCACAAAACTGACAATAAACTGCATGTCGGGTAACTCCAAGTTTAGTGTTTGATGTAAATTGGACTTTCAAACTGAAGGACGTTACTTGCATTTGATGTCGGATTCTTCCTGTTGAATCAGGGGAAACAATAAGTATCACCTAGCAACGCAGTTGTGAGGGAATGAATTTTGTCGCCATATTCATATTGTCGCTGGATACTGTATGCACCTACACTCACTGTACACATTTCGTTCATCGGTCCTAATTGACACGAGCGATATAATACCGTGTGACGGTACATATTGTCGTTTTGTACATATTGTCGTCGGCGACAATATGTACTTACCCTCACTGCACATACTGTCGCCCATCGGTACATATTGTCGCCGGCTGAAAAGTTACACATGTACATATTGTCGCTGACGACATTATGTGCCTCACCCTCACTGAACATATTGTCGCCCCACAGATATTGTTGCTTAAAGATTTCTTTTGTTGTTTTTTAGTAATTTTGTGAATGTTATTGGTGTGTGAATCACACTGACGTGTCTCGTATGTTATTTCATGCAGCGTGTTGTGACGGTACATTTTGTCGTCCTGTTCATATTGTCGCCGGCGACAATGTTTACCTACTCTCACTGCGCATATTGTCGTCCATCAGAACATGTCGCAGGACAATGTATGGCAATGCTCCATGTAAATATCATTAATCATTGCTTTGCTCTTTTTGAGAAGATAATTTCCATATACATGATTGTATTCATATATAATTTAATTCTGGTTATAACACGATTGGATAAAAAAAATTTACTTTATATCGTATAAATTGGGTGTTCTACGTCACAATGACTTGCGTCAAAAACGTATCGATCCGCCTTACTTTACATTTAAATTTTGTACAACCTGAAGTCATTTTTAAGGACAATAATCTTTTTTCTTACACTAAATGAATGAAAATAAAATTATAAGGAATGAATTTAATAGCTACCCAAATTATACGGTATAAAGTGGGTTGGAACA